GGCATCCACGGCGGCATCACCATTCTCTTCGCAAACTCGTCCTCGTGAAACCCATAATTATTATAACCTCCATTCCAATACATCATCCTCTTCACCATGTCCTCAGGTCCCATGAACTGCATCCCTTCAGTTTCTTTCTTCGCCTCCTCGCCTTCTTCTTTCTTTCCTTCCTCCTTTTTCTCCTCTGCTGCCGGGGCGTCGGCCGGTGGTGCTTTTCCTTCCTCCCCCTTCTCCGGTTTTTCTTCTTTCTTTTCCTCGGCGGGTTTTTCTTCGCCGGGTTTTTTCTCGGGCTCGTCTTTCTTTTCTTCTTCTGCTGGTGGTGGTGGTGGAGGAGGAGGCGGAGGGATAACTTTTGCGAGTTTTCCGGTTCGTCGGTAGATGTAATGGACGAGTTTTTCGCCGGTCATTGTCCCGGTTACCGCTACCTTGCCGCTGCTGAGCTCTGTCTCTGCTGTTTGCACCCCTGAGTTATTGTTTTAGTCGGAGATTAGTTCCTTAATTAATTAATTGTCATTTTTATGATAGTTTGTGTAGTCAAAATAGAGAAGAGAGAATTAAAATAGAATGGTATACCTCTCATCTTCAGGATTTTCCTCCTCAGCTGCTGAGCGCATGCTTCGCAATGCATGTTGACATGTAATTCCACTGTGGTCACCCCACTAACCTGATTCACGAGACATTAATCTGGTCAGCTTTACTTTCGCAAAAAGGAAAATGCTTTACGTACGTGTAGCCATGCGTACGTGTTTGCTAAACTTTAATTAAGAAGAAAAAACAAAAAGAAAAAGGAAAAAAAAAGTAATTCAAAAGGATTGAGTTCACTTTGTAATGTATGAACTTAGATGGTAAAAGAACGAAAGGGAATGCTATGAGTTTTCAATTTTATTTAGAGACACGGCTACGGTGGATAGTTTCTGAAGAAAAATTCGTGGGAGTTCTGACCTGGGACGCAACCACTTGAGGTTTGGGTGACTCAGCTTCATCAGGTGGGGGCAGCGGTGAGATGACTCTGGCACTCCTCATTGTTTTCTGTTGAATCCTTGAGCACAAAGCCTGAGGGTCCACTACCCCTTTTATCTTCACCTGGTTCTTTGCCATGTCACTCTCCACCTCTTCAACTCCTGTTGTCATGAGGATAATAAATTCTTTTTAGTATTCAAAATTTTAAAATAGTTTATAACATATGTGAAATACTATAATGCCTTAATTCTCACTCTCTATAGCCATTACGCGAGGTTGTCTATGATCATTTATTCTTCAAAATAGGCATTAAAGCTCTTAAGTGTTAACAAAGAAAACACCTCATGGCTTGTTCTATAGTTGGTCTCGTTGATTTTGGATGCAGAAATAACATTAATAATGGAGATCATGAGCGTACCCTTGCATTTCAAGAGGCACCTCTCAATTTTCTTCGCACACCCTACACAGTGCATGTCAATAGACAATATGACGATAGGTGGAGGAGGTGGAGGCTTTGCTTCCTCCTCTTTCTTTTCCTCCTCTTTCTTTTCTTCTGCTTTCTCTTCCTCTTTCTTTTCCTCCTTTTTCTCTTCCTCTTTTCCCTCCTTTTTCTCTTCCTTCTTCTCCTCCTCTGCTTTGGTCTCTGCCTTAGCTTCTTCCTACGAACAAACAAAAATTCCAGTCATTATACATTAATCGAATCAACAAAAAAAAAAAAATCAAATAAAAAAATTAACACACGAATTAAATCAATGCCCAAATCATTAATTACCGGTTTAGCTTCACCCATTGGAAACTAGAGCTTTAGCAAGAAAAGATGAAGGCAGGAGGGGGGAAGGACTCAGCTGAGAAATATAGCTTCTTATATAGGGACAAATTTAAAAGGGAAGCAAGAGTTTAATAAGACTAAATGATTCCAGAGCACATGGGAGTGCACTGAGCCAAGAGATCTAGGTGAAGGAATTTAGGATTAATTAATCTAAGTATAATTTTTTTTCCTCCAGCTAAACTGTCTTTTGTTTTGTTCTAAAGGAGAAGCAGAGGGAAGGAGAGCAGAGGAGGGCAGAGGAATTTATAGAGTTCATTATAGAATGGGGATAAAAGCAAAGGTCAGATAAAAAGGATTAAAAATACAGCAGAAAGTTGCAATCTTGATAGGAAAGAATATTCCTTTTTATGAAAAACAATATTTAATTTGTGGTAACTAAAGATCTCCTATAATGCTTGAGATTTTAGCACACGTTAGTACTTGTTAGGTTAAATTTTTGAATGGGTAAGATCAGATGTAAACGAAAACGCCTTCTATTGCATTGGACAAAACTTGCAATTTCTTTCTTACCACATAGGTCCTGTTATTTTTAAGCCCCATAGATTAAATAAAGAATGCACTTACCTTTTAGGGGTAAGAGTTTATGCCTTCTAAACCACAAACATATACAAAATTAGCATTAGATTATATGACTTCTTTGTGTTAGATTAATTTTTGAAGATAAGGAGGAGGGGGAAAAGAGAAAAGTGCTCCTAAGCAAAACCATATTCTTCTAGGTGATTAAGGGATCACTACATAATCATAACCATTAATTATCTAGTTGGTGGTTGTGATTTTTTTCTTTGAGTGCAAATTAGGAATGAGTGTAATAAACGGGGTTATGGTGAATGTTAGATTTAGATTGTATCATGACCGCCTACTAAGTAATCAACTATTGAGATTAAAAGTAGTGGCATCTCCACTATTTTTTTTTGTAGTTGAGAGGATCTAAATCCGTGAAGAAGATAGTATTCCTTATTTTAAAAAGGAAACTATTTATATCCCTGTGCCGAAAGCTATTTGTTTTTCAACCTCTCCCTATATGTCATTGTGATTTATCGATGTCGTATAATGTTATCATGTATTCCAGGACAGGTAAAAAACAAAAAACAAAAAAACAAAAAAGGGTTGTACGCTTAGAAAATAATTTACTTATTCTTTCTTAGTCGCACATGGACTGATGCAGAAGTAAAGTTGTTATTATGTACTTGTTAATCTATATAGAATTTCCTTTTTTTTTACATGTGTAAATTTATATTTTTCTATAACCTTTCTATCTTTTTGAATTTCAATACGGCACCATTACATCAAGAAAACTCTATCGTTAGGAATATCTTGAACTTATGACCAGATTCACCTCGAATGACGTGCCATATCAAGGCTCATAAAATTCCTCATTCATCTCATTTTCTTCTCTTTTTCTATCTTTTTTTGCTTAATTGCACTTATATACCCTATAGTTTCTCCTACTTTGCACTTACATACCCTCACTTGTTTTTAGCAGCTAGCACTTATATACCCTAAAATTTCTAAAATATTTCCTTATATGCCCTCACTTATTTTGGCAGCACTCATGTATCCTGAAGGTTTAAAATATGCATTTAAATATTCTAAAGTTTTTAAAATGTGCACTTAAATTTAAAACTTGCACTTCAATGTCCTCAACTTTGCATTTTGCATGACTCGGAGAATTTTGTTGCAACTTTTAAAAAATTTGGAATATTTAAGTGCATGTTTTTAAAATTTTCGGTTATATAAATGCTACCAAAACAAGTGAGGTTATACAAGCGCAAATTAAGTAGGAGAAACTATAGTGTACTAAAGTGCAAATAAGTTTTTCCTTTTTCTTGATGTAAGGGTGGGCCCTCATGAGTAAGTGATGATGTGGATTTTGTGAGGATGAGTAGATCCACCCATAAGAAAGTGAGGGGAAAAAAGGTCACAAGGATGGTTTGGTTGCGACTTTAGAAGCCCTACATGCAACGTATGTTAAAGATCTCTCATTTTGGGTAAGGTTCCTTCTTACAAAAGGGTTACGCAAAAAGCTGAAATAGGACCATCACACTGTAGAGAAATCACATGTATCATTAATTCTAGACATTTCTCAAGATCACACTATGTTATCATGGCATTTTGAATTCGTTAAGATATTCCCAAACTAAACACAACATTATGTATATGATGTGTGTGACTTTGGCCTACATTTCCTATCCTTGCTAGAGGCAGTAGCTTTGATTAGTTGGGAAGATGTCACACTGTTGGAATTATCTTTTGTGTTTGAATGGACTTTTAACTACAAAAGATAAATTCTGGCCTTCACAACTTTCTATTTTTGTTTTTATATTGAATAAGTGCTCGATAATAGGATGGATCTCCCACACATCAGAGAAATGATTTTACCAATACTCTCAATTTCTCAATTTATTAGATAATGAATCGTTTACAAAGAAAAATGGAAACTAAATCAAATTTCAAATTCTGTTACCTAATATATTGGAGGTTTATCTTAATGAGATCAAAAGGCTCAAGTCACTTAGGCCCCGTTTGGCAAAGGGTTAAGGAAGATGGGTTAAAGAGAAGAATTAATGTACTTAGCACATTTGATAAACTGGAAGGACTAAATTATTAACCCGTTAAATAAGTTTTATTTTAGCCATTGTGATCAATTTTAGTGTTTGGGAAAAGGACTAAATTATTAACCCGTTAAATAAGTTTTATTTTAGCCATTGTGATCAATTTTAGTGTTTGGGAATAACAATGATTTTGACTATTTTGTTTTATTTTAGCCATTGTGATCAATTTTAGTGTTTGGGAATAACAATGATTTTGACTATTTTCTTTATTATTAGAAGAGTTAACTCTTAATCCTTATAAAGAGGAGTATTAGTAAACCTCTCATTTTGAGGGGTTAACTCATTTTAATCCCTCTAGAGGGGTTAGCTTAACCCTTTTATATATTTTATGTTTGACAAATTATGGAGGGTTAACTCATTTTAACCATTGTATACATTTTTTGTATTTGGCGGGTTAAGAAGATGTTAAGTCTCCTTAACCCCTCAGTTAACCCTTTGCCAAACGGTATCTTGCATGATATATTTTTCCTCAAAGAAAACTAGTTACATAATATGTTTTCAATTGACTCACGAAATTATTTTTGTAGCAGATGTTAAAAATTTGGGCAAAAAAAAAAAAAAAACAAAATTTTCTATTCCTTCTCTCTTTCTCTTATCGACAAACATTTTTCTAACCTTATGTCCTTGGACAATTTTCACAAAAAAGCGAAATAAAGCAACATCCAAGCTACCTCCTTGTCACAATGTCAACCGAAGGAATTGTGAATTTTCACCTGCCAAAACCATAAACGGAATAAAGTTTCCACAAAATATAAAAAGGATCATTTTATTGCTGCAACAAAACACAAATACTTAGCAACATAGCACAAACTTCTCAATTCTAACTTCTGGGCAACCAATTTCACCTTATTGGAATTTGAAAGGGATGTTGCAACCATCAAATCTTCAATCCATAAGAACTTTGGTTTTAGCACTAAAAAATCACATAAATGATTTAGTTGTTAAAGTTTGACCTCCCTTTTCGAGCTCAAGGTGTCTTGATCCATTGAGTTCGGATCTTGGTCGACCCTCACTAATCACAATAAAGTTCATAGAGTGCTAAATGAATAATGTATTTGGTGTACATTATTTTTTGTGTGGCCCATGAATCAAATTAACGATTCATTAATCAGGTTAATGTGGTTGCTTGAATCCGAAGAATTGGAATAAAGATGAAGGGGACACAAGTATTAGGTCATTTAATTAATAAGAAAGTTAGTGAAATTATTTCATTAACAATATAAAATTATTGTATCACTTTTGTACTTAAGGTGGGCAAAGAATGGCACGTAAGAACTTTGCAGCTTAATTTGAAGCATTTTGAACCGTGTTTTTTTCGATAGCGTTGGAAACTAATATTAATTATTAATACTTTTAGGAGAAAGGGGCGGTGATATGAATCGGGATTTATAATTTATATGAAAAAGTATTAAAAATATATGAAGCATCTGCCGGTATTATAGAATCTCCGCTATGAATTATTGAATGATGTTCATAATGTTGGATTTAAATCTAACTAAATCTATTTGTGGGCACATATGTTATATCACTATGTGTTGCTATCTTTGCAGTTGATCCGTATAAAGTGATCAATCAGGTAATTGGGTCAATGCGTATTTAAATATGTCATGGGCTAATTGTGCAGATACCAGATTGCAATTCTAATTTAATGATGGACTAAATTAGAAAACTACAAGTCTATATATAGGGGTTGTGAGTTTGTTAATCAGTCCGAATTGTTAGTTTGAGTCTAAGTGATTAGATAGAATTCTAGTTATGGTAGAATACTAGTTAGTGGATAGATTCCTAGTTATTGGACAAAGATTAGAGCTGTAATCTTATTCCTATATATATGTAAACAATCTTTGCAAGTAGGTGAACGTGAATAAAAAAAAAAGAGAAGTTCCTGCTCCTTGTTTCTGCTCCTTCGCTGCGTGTGTTCTTCAACAAAACAGAGGCTTTGAAAAGCCTGCTGCAGAACACGTTCTCTGCTCCTCTCCTCTTCTGTTTGTTCCCTCAAAATTCAGCCAGGTTATATTTTAGTTTACAGGTTTTCTAACTCAGTTTCAGGTGTGAACTTTGGCCGATTCTGGTTCAAAGCCTACAAGTGGTATCAGAGCCGTGTATGCCTAAGATTCAACCAAGATCTGAAGAGATGACGAGTTCGGAGAAGATGACGACCAAGGTGGGTTCTCTCACTCTTCAATACCCGACGCTATCGAGGGATAACTATGCTTCGTGGGCAATCAAGATGAAAGTCAACATGAAGGCTCAAGACGTGTGGGACGCCATTGAGCCCGTGGCAGGCGCGTCCGTGGAACACAGGAAGGATCAGATGGCATTGGCGGCCATCTACCAGGGGATTCCTGAAGAGACTTTGATGGTGATCGCAGAGAAGCAAACGGCAAAAGAGGCATGGGAGACCTTGAGAACAATGCATCTAGGAGCGGACCGTGTGAGGAACGCGAAGGTGCAGACCTTGAGGTCCGAGTTCGAACTTCTCTGGATGAAGGAGAATGATAACGTCGACGATTTTTCGACGAAGTTGACAGGAGTCGTCAACAAAATCCGGGGTTTAGGCGGCGAGATGGAGGAGAACTATGTCGTTAGAAAGCTACTTCGGGCGGTA